ACATTGTCCTCCTTCCAGTGCCGTCACTGCCCGCGCCTAGAGCGGCCCAGCTCAGCCCCTGCCAGGAAGAGCTTGGAGCAGCCCCGGCTCCAGCCCGCAGCTGCAACCCGCCCTGCCCCATGCAGATCCAGGGGCACATGCCCCCCATGCCCTCCCGGAGTGCAACACAGAGTTCGTAGCTGCCTCCCACCCCCCACACACACCCCTGGATGAGCCACAGATCCACCCTTCACCCCACCCTGCCCCTACTGGGCAGCACTTGCCCCAGCCCCACACCATCCCTCACTGTGGGGGGGCATTGATCTGCCCCACCACGTCCATTCCCTCCCTCCTTCCCTATCACCACAACAGACTTACCAACTGGAAGCAGCTGTATTTGAAATCGGATTGATATCGGCCAATATGCCTCCTTAAAAATCAGCTATCGGTATCAACCCCCCCAAATCTCTATCACTGCACCCCTAACAGGCAGCTTGGGTCCTCCCCACCACCTCCCGGCCATGCATGCTGAGTAAGCAGTCCCTTCTGCCCTGACCTGCAACACAGGCAGCCTGGCACCCCCCAGGACATGCCCACTTGAGGTGTGGGCAGCCAGGCTTCTGCCTTTCCCAGCTATGGTCCCCTACTACATATGCAGCTCTTGCACTCTAGGTCTCCTCTTGCTGTACAACCCTACCCCCAGGAGCAGGAGCACCTGAAGAACCAGCTGCTGTTGAAGAAGCAATTGCAGGAAAGGGGAGCTGTGGCAGCTGTGGGCCACATGCTAACCCTTCAGGGGCCACAGGCAGCCCACACACAGAACATCGGTTGAATGGCCCTGGTTTACTGAAGGTAAACACTAAATGGTTACAATTAGTCACAGATTATTTTGAATGGCTCTACTTCAGCCAAAATGCTGCAGTTCTGTATGACTGAACCTCTGTCTGGGTTCGAAGTCAGTGAAAATATTCTGCGTTATCAAGAGTGGTGGGAAAATAAGCTAGATTGGGGTGGCCAACCTGCAGCATGTGTGCTGCAAGTAGCACCGGCAGTCTCTGTGTGTGGCGTGTGGCAGATCAGGGAGGGGACAAGCAACAGAGTAGCAGATAAAGCAGGGAACATAGGGCAGAGCAGTAGATTGAACAGGGAGCAGAAAACTAGAGTAGCAGATCAGGCAGGGGAAGGGGATTGATGAGGGTGCATGGCTGATTTGGGGTATGCCGGCAAAAATGATTGGCCCCCACTGAGCTAGATCAACATGCTGTGGTGCCTTGCTGCAGTCTCAGAATGAAAGGAAACAGGCTTTGCCTCAAATTCTCTCAATTCAAGGTTAACACAAAGTAATTTCTTCTCGTGTCATAATTTGGATTTGATATCTGCTATATTAATTTGGTTATTTGAACCTACTGATCTGATTCAGGCTTAGTTATGACTTCAGTTTGATCATTACTAAACTAATTAATGATGAAACACTGCAATGTGCTTAAGTGTGTATATGCTTGGCTCATGCTTTGAAATATAATCCAGAAAAATTACAAAGGATTCCAAGTTTATTCTATCTAATTGCAACATGGATCACAAACTCTGAGGCTCCAGGTAGCCCCAGGTAAGAAATCAGAAAGATACTTGGCTCTGTTTTTAAATTGATACCCAAATCTCTCCCCTCCCACCGGCTCACCAGCTTTTCCAATATATGAGAAAGGATACTACTATAAAATTTTATCAGCCACATTAAGCAAGCCACAGTCATCACTAAGGTGAGGTGCTTCAGGCTGAATCTACACCATACACTTTCTAATAGGCTGGATTCACAGGGCAAGCAGCAGCAGCTGTGGTGGGGCCAGCAGTGGAGATGGAGGCACTGGCAGCAGCATGGCAAGCAGCCACTTGCCACGGAAGAGTTGACAATAGCGGCAGTGGTGGCCAGGCTAGCAGCTGCAGGCCAAGGAACTGCAGAGTCAATGGGGCTGTTTGCTCCCCTGCAGTCAAGGGCCATATGCAATGGGGTCTTGGATTCTGCAGCAGGTGCTACCTCCAGCTAGCCACACTGCAAATTTCCTGGCCCTCCACAACCCCAGCAGACTGGATGGAGTGGCTCTGCAGGCTGGACCTGGTTCGTAGGTGTATGTTTGATGCCCCTGATCTAGGTAAGCAGCTTGATTCAAGACAGAGCCGTGCATCCTAGGATCTACAGTCACTATAGTTTATGATTATGAAGATTAATTGTGGCTACTGGGCAAGCTTTCATCAACCTTGCACCAAAGGATGCATATTCTCTGCTGGAAATGGTGATAGAGTTACCTAGACTCTAGATCACCATCAACTACACAAACAAAAACAAAACAAAACACTGTCCCACCACAACAACCTTGAAAATTTGTTATATAATTTTAGCGGCCCATGCTCAACCACTAAAAATGCCAAATCTATAAGTAAGCCTTCAAGCGATATGACGAGAGAAAAAGAAAAGCACTCCATCCCCACTCCTACAAAACACAAAAAGAATGCAACCCAGGAGACTGGATTTTTGCATGAATGCCTTAAATATTTTACATATAGGTAGGACTTGCTCAGAAATGCACAAGGCTGTATGAGATGCAACACTTTTAAAATGGAGACTATTATATAAACTGTTGTTGTATAAAGAAATTCAAGTTACAGTTCATATTGTGTTAATTGGTTTTAAGCTGTGTACAAGTTGCCATATTCCAGAAAAATTAATGTAAATCAGA